AACAGAGACTAAAAAGAGATAAACATTGCAGATATAAAAAGCTGCTAGGTTTGATCACGCTCTTATTATATATCTTAGCAAGAAGCTAGGTATGCATGCTATTCTTGCCTTGCCTGTCCTTCATGCCAAATTTAGGACAAACCCTCATGCTCCTCGTCTTTACATTTCTGTCCTTGACCTAATAAAAGCAAGCAAACAAAACCCTAAATAAATGAACAAAAAGTACAAGACAGATGTAATTTACCCTGGCCGTTTGATTTGAAATTCTGATCACAATCCAACGGTTGTCACCCTTTGACTGTTTTTGACTAGATCGTGAAGTGAAAAGGCTAAGCCTAGAGATGACAGACTTTTGACAGTACCAAAGCCACATTTATGAATTATTATGAAACAGCATTTCAATTTTCAATCCTTTTTTAAGCCGTTTGAGAGACACAAAAGCAGTTCTACCAATCGTACTACTGCATCTTATCCTACGTCATGCCCAGTGTCTTCCTGTCCAGCCAACATCCAACTGCGACCACTACGTTAATTCAAGGCATTAATTCTGTCCCAAAATTACCCTCTTACAAAATCCCTATTTTTTTATAATATAAAAAGTAACTTCCATCGTGTATAACTCTGGTTTTTTTTTTTATTCAATAGTAAATAATATTCTTGAACCAATTTATATGTCAATCAAGATTTTTTTTTCAATTTATTTCAAAGAATGTTAGTCTCAAGTTTCTAAGTTTTGAATGCAAAAAATAAGAAAACGGACATTCTTTTTTAATTATCAGTTCAATTTTTTAGGATTATGTATGATTCTATGTTAATTCAAGGCATTAATTCCATCCCAAAATTACCCTCCTACAAAATCCCTATTTTTAACAAAATTACTCTCAATATCAACTTAAATATATTCAGAAAAAAACAATAAAATTTCTAGAATGCTAGTCTCAAGTGTCAAGTTTTGAAAGCAAAAAATAAGAAAACGGACATTTTTTTTTTAATTATCAGTTCAATTTTTTAGGATTATGTATGATTCTATGTTAATTCAAGGCATTAATTCTATCCCAAAATTACCCTCTTACCAAATCCCTATTTTTTACAAAATTACTCTCAATATCAACTTAAATATATTCAGAAAAAAAAACAATAAAATTTCTAGAATGCTAGTCTCAAGTTTCAAGTTTTGAATGCAAAAAATAAAAAAGAAAACGGACACTGTTTTTTAATTATCAGTCCAATTTTTTAGGATTATGTATGATTCTATTGTCTTAATTATTGCAGATTAAAAAAATAGTGGTAATAGAAAAATTAATTCAAAGAATGCTAATTCTAAAACGGACATTCTATTGTCTTAATTATCATTCACTATGTTAATTCAAGGCATTAATTCTATCCCAAAATTACCCTCTTACAAAATCCCTATTTTTTTATTAAAAAAAAAGTATTTCCATCATGTAAAACTCTGGTTTTTTTTTATCCAATAGTAAATGATATTCTTGAATTAATTTATATGTCAATTAAGATTATTTTTTTCAATTGATTTAAAAGAATGCAAGCTTCAAGTTTTGAATGCAAAAAATAAGAAAACGGACGTTCTTTTTTAATTATCAATCCAATTTTTTAGGATTATGTATGATTGTATGCTCTTAATTATTCCAGATAAAAAAAAATAGTGGTGATAGAAAAATTAATTATGCTCGTTAATTTATTAGCAACAAGGCAGAAAAAGAGCGAGCCCGACAAGCATAATCGAATAATATCGTTTTCTTTTTCTTGACCCGTCTTTTTTCACACTCAAAACATGCCCCGTCCCTTCTCTTCTCTTCTCGTCTGCAAAAAGCTACATGGCCCCGAGTACTAAAAGGAGTTGCTTTCTTTTTTATGTTAAAAGGAGCATCGGTACGGTCAATCCCTCATTTTTTAAGCTCGAAACTTAGGGTCTATTGTTTCACTTTTCCTTTTAGTTGCATTAATGTTCAAAACTGATTAATAAGTAAAAAAAAAAAAAAAAGACACTGTTCTAACATGCTGCATAGTACTTGTCTAAGCGTACAAGAGTTGCCATGTGTCTTGATGTGATCCATGGGAGCCAAGCATTCGTAGCTAGATTTCCATCCATACGGTCTATTTTACTTTTTTTTATTATTATTATTATTATTAATTTAAAGATTTCATCTCTATTCATATACAAATTGATATGAAGGCAAATATTTAATACCATTGAATTAGAAAATATATATATATATATATATAAGCCAGTCTTATGTGGCTATAAAATTTGCATTTAAAGTTTAAACAAGAACAAGTAAGTATGATAATCAAGAAGAGTTCAAAATTTAATTATTTCAGGATTGGACTATCTATAATTGCTAGCTTAACTTTAATTTTGACGTAACGAAAGTTCACCAAAACAAAATAATCATCGTTGATTTGAAATTTAAATATCGATCTATTATATCCTATTGAATTGTGCTTAAATATCGGAAAATAGGTTTAACTTTTATTAATTCAAAGAATGTCAAAAATTAGAATAAACTTGAGATATTCTCTCATAAATTTTTATGAATAAAAAAAATTATGTTTTTCAGCCTCCAAGTCATACATAAATAGAAAATTTTGATCAAAACTCTAAAGCAATTCAAAAAAGAAGCAACTACAAAAAAAAAAAATAATAAATAATAATAATAATAATAATAATCCAAAAATAAGAAAAAAATCTTGAAAAATAGTAAAAGTCAATTTTAAAAACTTAAACAGTGTTTTTTTTTTTTATTGGTCAAAATCACCTATGCATCATGGGCATAGTCCATGAGTTTTGCTCATTGATCCGTTTAACATCGAAATACGTTCAAACCCTCATAATTGAACGGATAATTTTTTTCAATTCTTATGCATTCATGCCATTTCATAAATTCTAAAATTCATTTGTCAACTTCAAATTTCCATCACTTCTATCGTTGTTTCCACCCAGCATTGACGTGACTAGCCCTCATGGTTCTTCTCTTGGCTTGTAAATGAGCTTAAACTAAACCCATAGTTTGGAGCTAGAAGAAGTTGGGTCATAGAAAAATAGAAAGACCTAAAGTCAATTTGAAGATGCACACGAGTTATAGAAAAATGGAAGACATGAAAATGATGATAAATCAGCATCTCTTGATAGACACATAACTTACGTCAAATGGATGAGGACAGGTTAAATTCTCCCAAGTGTAAGCTTTGTTACTTGATACTAATGGGATAAGATAGATTAAAGTATCTGCTCATGATTTTGAGAGAAATATTCGTTTTCTTTTGCTTTTAAAGATATATTTTTCCTATCAAAAGAAAAAGAAACCGTCCAAATCCAAAACAAAAAAAAACCCACATATAGAATCGAAGGCCATAAGAATATAAGAATATTCATTCATCCATCCAATATTTTCTCGAAGCCGATAAGTCAAAAGAATACCTGACCGACCCCATCTAAATTCGAGCTCATCTATGCCATGCCACTCGATCTTCATCACATATGAACAATATTAAAAAATGGAAAACAAAACTTTATTCATTAAAAAATAAATAAAACTAAGAGGAAAAACTAAAAAGAACCTAATAGTACATTGGGTCGAAAGAGAAGGGCACAAAATGCGCATGAAGGTCACGTCAAAAAAAAAAAAAAAGGAACAAAGGTATGTGATGGCCACGTTCTTGCCTTGTCGTTGTTCTTTCTCTTTTGATTTATTTTTATTGATTATTTTGATCATGTAACAGAAGAAGCAAGGCCAAAGGCCGACAACAAGGACGGAGACAGCCGTCTATTAACCAACAACTCCCTTCTGATAAAGCCTCTTCTTCATGTCTCTTCCACAGTCCCATTTACGAGACTTTTTTTTAAAAAAAAAATCATTTTTTGTAACTCTCGATGTAAAGATTATGCTTCAAAAAATGCTTAGAAGATGATACCCTAAACACTGCATGCATATTATACGTCAGTTAGCTAATTATTGATCAACACGTTGACCTACAAGAAAAGCTTATCCTCATTTTCTATATTTTACTATTGAGATCTCTTTGTTGACTATAATATAAAAGAAAAATAACTTTATTATTATCATAGATGTGATTTGATTTTAAGTTATTTGAGATAATTTTAAGTAATTTTTTTTCCAATTTTACTGTTAGAGATTGAGTCAGGTTTTTTGTATCGAAATTATGTCTTTTTTTTTTTTTCAAATTGATTTACTTCTCTTTGAACTCTATTAGCTTAAAAAATATATATATTCTGAATCGTCAAATCAATCTCCTCAACTTGGATATAAAATATTTCTCAACAATTATTAATCTGAGATGATTTTGACAATTGAATTAATTAGCTCATGTCATTTCTCATGGTTTAATTTCAAGAATAGAGTAAAAATTTATATTTTCTGTTAATCCTTTAATCTTTTAAAAACCATTTACATGTAACTAGATTAGGAAAACAAAATCAATTAATATTTTAACGTGCAAAAAATCCTTCGAGAGGTAGCATCTGATAATAAAAAAAATCAATAAATCAACCGAATACTACTATTTTGCTTATTAATTTATTCAAATATAATTTTGTTTCCTAATTTTTGGGGTGGAAAGCGTTTTAGATGGTTGATGAAGTGCAAGATGACAAAGCTCACAAAGCTCATAAATTAAAGCAACTTTCTCCTACACAATCTCTCTCTCTCTCTAGCATGCGTTGAGCCGCTGACGAATACATGACAGACCAGCTTTATCATTACCAAAAAAAAAAAAAAAAAAAATCTTTTCTTCAAAATAAAAACATTAATCCTCCTTAGCCCTTATACGCACTAAAATAATGATTCCGTTGAACTCCTGAGCTTCAATTCCTTACTGTCTCCTCTATAAATAGCACCCATACCCGTCCTTCTTATCTCACCAAAGTTCTGAGTACTTCACATCCAATCCTCCAAAGCAATCGTCTTTGTTTCTTGCTACCTTTTCACATTTCTTGACACCCTTAATTTCTTGCTTTCAAAATGCATCAAACTGAGTCGTGGGGGTCTTACATGGCAACAAGAACCAGCCTTGGCGACCCACTGGAACGCATAGGAAGGCTAGCCTCAGAGAATGCAGTGGTGATCTTTAGCATAAGCTCGTGTTGCATGTGCCATGCTATAAAGAGGCTCTTTTGTGGCATGGGAGTGAACCCAACAGTGTACGAGCTGGACGAGGACCCAAGAGGTAAAGAAATGGAGAAGGCTCTCATGAGGCTTCTCGGTAGCTCCTCTGCCGTTCCTGTTGTTTTCATTGGTGGTAAGCTTGTGGGTGCCATGGATAGAGTCATGGCTTCCCATATTAATGGCACTCTGGTCCCTCTTCTTAAGGAAGCTGGTGCTCTTTGGCTTTGATTGATGCTAGCTCACTCTCTTCATATTTCAAAGAATAAAAAGAAGAAGAAGAAGGAAATCATGACCTCATATACAGTAGCAAATTAAAGAAAGCAGAGGAAGAGGAGTGGTGTTTTGAAGGTCTCCTCCATTTTGGATACACTAATGACTACTACTACTAATTATCGTCAAATGTATTAGTTTCTGCTTTTTTATGTTTTCTTTTCTTTTTTTTTTTTTTTGAACCCCACATTTTAATTTTAATTTGTGGGCCTTTTGGTTTTCTGTGTATGTTTCCACTAATCTTGGTCTCAAGAGAGAAATGTAATTGCTCCCTCCTCTGTATAGAAAAACCGAAATGCCAAAAAAGAAGAGCTACTTGTTTTTCTTACTTCAAAGTTCATCCTTCGCTGGTTTTAGCTTTTGCAATTTCGTTATTTTTATGTTACTTTTAGCTCATCTGGAGATGGGACATACAGAAGCGTCGTTTTCTTGCCTCCATGTGAAAATAAAAAAAAAGTTAAGTTGACCAGACTACGTGGGCCTTCTTTTCACCACGCTTGGTGGGGGTCTCCCTCGCGAAAACCTGGTCTGTAATTTTTCTTACTCCGCAGTAAAAAAACTCAATCCCGGATTTGAGCCGGGATACTCGCCCCCGATTCAACCCCGTGTTAAAAAAATGAAAGGCTCTTTCGGTGGTGATCATCTATCCTCTGATCACCGTACTAGTAGCTACAGTTATTTCATTGACCGTTATAGCATCAGGGACCTACACAGAAGGGGACCCCTTTGTTTTTTAAGAGCGCATGATCTGATCATTTTTTTTCGTTGGGGATTCAAGTAGACCCAAAGGCGTCTTTTACCATGATGGGTAGTAGTATTCGTTCGGTTATTAGGTTCAATTTCAAAATATTTTAGATGGTTATTAGATTCGGTTTCGAAAAGTTAATGGAATTTTCAAAAAAGGTAACCGAAGCCGAATCGAAATGTTATTCTATTTTTTTGTTTGGTTTCAATATATAATTCAATTTTTATTCATTTTATTTATTTTTTTTTTATAAATTACTGATTTTATTAAAGTTTCTAAAATATCTGTTTAGAGTGAGTTTCTTTTTGCTTCGTGCACTACTAATTAAGAACTTAAGTTACGTCCAAAAAAATAGCAAATGCATTAATAGATAAACAAATAATAAATTATTTACTCAAAAAGGCTTGAATTTAAGAATATAAAAAATCTATCAACATATTTGTTATTTTTTGTGTATATCTAGACTTATAACAAAGACAAAAAAACATATACGAAGCTGTGGGAGAAAATGCATATAGGGGACAAAAGTTTTTCAATTTGACGATGCATCGAGTGATTTAACTTAAAACGAAATATATATATATTAAAAATTTCAGTTCTTCGATTACCGATTTTTTTTGAAAAATAACTAAAATCAAATCCGAAAACCAAAATTATTTCGATTTACTTTTTTATTTTAATTTTTTTTAAAAAATATCAAAATTAATATTTGAATGTGATTCAATTAATTATTCGATTTTCATACAACAACGAACACCTATACTCGGTGGGGTAAGTGATAGAAGTGGAAGTTGGAGAATATAAAAAATCTACCAACATATTTATTATTTTTTATGTATATCCAGACTTATAACAAAGATAAAAAAAAACATATACGAAGCTGTGGGAGAAAATGCATCTAGGGAATAAAAGTTTTTCAATTTGACGATGCATCGAGTGATTTAACTTAAAACGAAATATATATATATTAAAAATTTCAGTTCTTCGATTACCGATTTTTTTAAAAAATAACTAAAATCGAATCCAAAAACCAAAATTATTTCGATTTACTTTTTTATTTTAATTTTTTTAAAAAGATATCAAAATTAATATTTGAATGTGATTCAGTTAATTATTCGATTTTCATACAACAACGAACACCTATACTGGTGGGGTACGTGATACTGGTGGGGTAGGTGATAGAAGTGGAAGTTGGAGGTGACAAAAGCGTATAAAAATGGAACCCTAACCTATCCTCACCAACTGATTTTTTTCCCGGAAAATTAATGAGGGTCCACTAAAGTTTGTTTATCTGAAATTAATAAATTTGGTTTGACACGTGTGAAATTCTCAATGGCTTGGTTAAACCTGGGCGCCACGCACGGTGGTTAACAGGGCGATAACCACGGTGGGGTCATGAAGGAACCGTGCATTTGGATGGTCGGTGCCGTCTTGTATGAATGGTGAATCTTTGGTAATGCAAGAATTTCATTTTTATTGAACTTTTCGGGGGTGAGAGATACTTTCTGTCTAAAGCTTGGCCACGTCAACGTCCGTACCTTTGACATGTCGACCTGGGCCCTAGAACGATAAGGTTAATTTTAGCAGAAAGTGCATCAAATCGTTGCTTGTGAGGTGTTTTTTTAATTAATTTTAACATCTTCGTATTAAACTATTTAAAGCACTCTAAAAAGCATCATTTTAAAGTTGTCAGAGTCTGAACAGACTTAAAAAAAAAAAAATACTAAAACTACATTACTAAATAGTACTTAATGGGTGAGAAATTTTATATTAGTCATAGAGTATCAATCAATATATATATGTATATTAAAAAATGTTAATTTTTCCGGTCTTTTTTTTTTTTTTTTCCAACAACGAAAAAGGCTTGGGCTGGGATTTAGTGTTAGGCTGTAAATCACGGCTGAGCTACAGAACTAAGTGAAACAAGGCCTGAAGCCAAAATTTTGGATGGGCTTGATCTGTCATTTCGGGCCAAAAAGGCCCGCAGGAGAGGCTGCAAGTTGGGCTAAAAAATAAAAAAGCCTGCGGGCCTGTTATTTTGGGCAATGAGCCTTCGCCCTTGGTCTTGGGTTTACACTTTACAGGCCAGTTTGCTTCTTTAGTTTTGATTTGGGCCAAGGGTTGAACAATGGGCCCTGAATAATTAGGTTTTTAGTTTTAGGATTTATTAGAGCTTTGACTCGAGCTACGCTGCGGGTTAGATAAAATATATAAAATTATTTAAAAAAATTATTTTAGTTTAATAATCTGTTTTATGATAAAAAAATAATTATAATTTTTTCATCAAAAAAATTGTATTTAAATATTTTTTATTTGTGTTTTTAAATTCTAGAAATAAATAATAAAAGAAATAAATTATTGGTTTCTTTAAAATTTTAACACCCAATTAATTATTGGTTCCTTTAAAATTTTAACACCCAAAATTATTAAGAAACAAAAAATTTTTTTTTAAAAAAGTTCAAGTTTTAGGAAAAAAAAATAGGGGCCAACGTTTACTTGTTCATGTAAATAGTAACGGATGGAAAAAAAAAAAAAAAAAGCTCAATGTTTAGAAAGGAAAAAAAAAGAAGTCGTTTACTGTTCATATGAACAATAAACGAAAAAAAGGGACGAAAGAAGGCCACGCTAGTAAAAAAAAAAATGAATTTTTTTTAAAAAAATCAAAGCACCGTAGCAATGAACAATGATTAACACTATTCAATGCTATAGTAAAAAACTGTTTGTATTTAATAAGGTCTGCCTTACACATTTTGACTTGAATTTTTTTTTTTTGTGTTACGTATGGTTATCCTTGGTTTGTGTTTAAAATTTTATAATTTTAAAATTAATTTATTATTTATGTGAAATTTATTTAATATTATGCTTAATTTTTAATTGTTTTGTTGTTTGTCTAAGGAACTTAATTATTTGGACTTTGGTTTGATTTTATTTTGATATGAAATTCCTAGAGTTTGTACATATATTTTGTCTATAAATTTTTTTTTGATTTTTGCAATTTTTTTAGGATTCATTTATAATTTGCTTGTAATTTATTTTAGTTTAATATATTTAGTTAATGTCATGACAGATCATCAAGTCTTGTAGGTTCTAGGGACTAATGATAATCCTTTATCAAATTTATAAAGTCGGATAAATATGCTATCTTAGGATAATTATGAAATATATATATACATATCGAAACAAACATAACCAACTCTTTATTCGTAATCTCTCGAATTTAATGATCATTTTAGGTTTTTTAGTTTTTTTTTTAATACTAGTATATGACTCCAAAACCTTTGTTAACTTAGGTCCCCAAGAATAAACAATAAAATCCAAAGAAGCAATCCATTAATCTTTTAGAAGTCTCATAAATGTCGGGTAGCGACAGTATTAACAAAAGAAAAAATGATGTTAAAAGAGAATTGAAGTTAGTAGAATTTGAGAATTTTATTAGAAATCAACCCTTTCAAGTTTTATTACATTTGCTTTGATAAAAATATATTTTTCTATCATTTTTTTATTTTATTTTTGTTAATGTTAATTATTTTATGTTTTTCTTTATCTTTTGGATCATATTGAGATATTTTATAAATTTCAAGACTAAAATTAAAATTTACACACTTGATAAAAACTGATGGATGAAAAAAATTGGAACAAAGATGAAAAACATAGAGTTTGATTGGAATAAAAATGAAAAGTACGGTAGAGGATAGAAATATAAATAAAAGATATGAAATCTAATTGAAATAAATTAAAATTTTTATGTGAAATTAAAACAACATATAAAGTCCTAGTAGTTGACAGATTAAAGTTTACCCTTTTTTTTTTTTTTTAATTATGTGAATTTTCTTAAGTTTTACTTTGGCTTCTCAATCATTTAAATTAATATTAAAACTAATAATTTACAAACAATTTTTTTCATGCTAAAATTTCATATAAATTAACATATCAGTTAATAAATGGTAAAATATGAATCCTCCATATATGATTAGTCTCTTGTAAAAAAAAAAAAAAACTATTTAGATAAGCAATAACTTCTATATTCAATTCTCTCATTTCTTTTTGTTATCAAATTAAGTTCAAATAATCTTTTTTTGTCCGTCAATCTAAAAAAAAAAACAAATAATAATAATAGTGTGACAGTGTATTCCTCGGTGACACTCTGTCCGTGTTACACCGACGCGCTCATTTAAATTTCTTCCCACTTGGTCAAAAACCCAAACGTAAAGAGCCTGCCACCAACTGAGCAAATATATATAGATAACCCGCACCCAGACCTACACTCGGTCTTCCACACCACCATAAAGCCATTGCCACGTAATACAAATTAAAATGAAACACAATCTAATTAGTGAATGTTCTTGGAGAGTAAGAAACTTGATACACAGGATCAAAACTCTGGCCTTCCTTACACATCCAATGAACATAAATAAAAAAAGTTTCACTATTACTGAGCACTGACACAAAAATTCGGACTCTCTCTCTCTCTCTCGCTGCAGTCGCTATCGGCCTTACCATAAAAGAAAGAAAAAAGAAACAACAGCTAAGAAACCAAAAAAAAAAAAAAAACCGAAAACCAGATAGCTACTCCTTAATTAATCTATTTTTGATTACCCAGGTTTGTAGCCTAATTATCTCTGTCCAGTATCCATCTCTCTTGCTGCTAGCTCTCATAAACCCTAGTAAAACAGTAACAATTTGGACTCCATGTATTTTATTTATAATTTATTTTGTAATTTCCATTGATAATTGTTGATTTTTTTGTGTTTTGGTTTTCTAGTTATTGAATTTTTGTAGTGTAGGGAGGGAGAGAGAGAGAGAGAGAAGGAGAGGATTGGTGATTGAAATTTGAAAGAGTGAGTTTTGGTATTTGGTGAAATGCCGGAGGAGGAGTTAGTAGAGCTCAAGTTTAGATTGTATGATGGATCGGATATCGGTCCCTTTAGGTATTCACCGGCATCCACCGTTGCTACGCTCAAAGAACGAATCGTCTCCGACTGGCCCAAAGGTTTGTCTATTCTTTAATTGCTTTACTCAATTCATTTCTCTCCCTCTCTCAATTCAACTGTTTCAATTGAGTTACCATTTGCAATTCGCTTTTTTTTTTTTAATGGCTTGAACATTTGGTGTGAGGAATTTAGGCTACAGTGATGAATGTTGTGAATGATTTCGGTTGCGTGTGATGAAATAATTAGTTTTGTGCTTAGTTGTCAGTTAGCAAGGAATGGACAATACTTTGCTTTGCTGTATGGTTCTTTGGTTGTGCGAATTGGATAACTTATCGAGCAAGTGAACCAGACTGGTTCCAGTTTGATGAAGCCATGTCTTGATGAAATTATCGTAGGCAACTTAGTTATGCTTGGTCCCATTCGTATATTCTTATTACTTCAGAATGTAGCATCTGTTGATTGAGGATGTTTTGGATGTAGAGACCCAAGCGGGTGGCTTTTTCTTTTTGCAATAATAATTTTAAACTGGGCTGAACCTTTTTTTTTTTCCTTAATTCATCTCTGTGGTTTTTCCCTGATAATACCTTTTTAGTCAGGTTTTGTAATTTTCTCTTCTTTATCATCATTGTGCTATTAGATTTTTTCTTCTTTTGCATGGAAACCAAGACATTATTGTTTGCCAGCTACTCTCTGGGTAGCATATAGGTTCTGTGTTTACTTGATTTTGTTTTGGTTGATCGGGCCAGGAAAGAGTTATATATAGGCAGTCTTGATTGGTGACATGTCGTCATCGTGAAAAGCTATGTAGCAAAATCTTTGTGGTCATTTAGTGGATGGAAATTGGATACACGACATATATACCAAGAAGCTTGTATGTCCTTAGGTGCTGCTCTTTATTTGGCATCCTTTGATTTCATCTTCACTTTGATGCATGTTATGAACCAAAAAATTTTCTTGCAACTTCTCACCAAGCAGAGGCCTTTTTTTCTCAAGCCTTGAGTGGTTATTCAATAATCATGCTCTTGGAAATATCATGTCGATGATATTGGATCATCTCTCTCCCCTTGGGGGGATTTTCACAGGTTTCTATCAACTAACAGCACAAGATTAGCAAGGTCAAAGTTTTGTTATTTTGATATCAATCCTCATATTGCATCATGCTTTTCTGGCAAGATCAAGATAATTGGGTCCCATTAAACTATAGGGGGAATTGATTCTTTCTATTCTGTTCTTTCCTGCATGTGTAACTTCCCCTGCCCCTTATAATTGATTTGTGTCAACTGTTGATATTAAGGGTACTGCTTGTCGAGGACAGGGAGTAAGCCTCTTTGATATTTTCTTGAAGTAATCTTGTTATCCTATTACAAATATTTTCCTAATCTCTTCAAAATTTTATTTTGCATCATATTTAGTGCATCTAACAATAGAAATATAGCATTTTCGTGCAATGGGGAGATACAGAGTGATATAATTATCAAGGTGAAACTTGGATAAGGAAATAATACCCTTTGCCACATCAATCAGACTATCTTTATCTCAGATTACCAGTGTCACGATTGGATTTAGGAAAAGGAAGCTGTGGCACTCCTGACTTGACTGTTGATGAGGATGGTGTATTATCATTTTCCAATGCAAATATCATGCATGAAATAAATTACTCATAGAACTGGATTGCCAAATTTTATCCTGCAGATTTGCTCATTGGAAATTCTTTACACGCTCCAAAATTGGGTGCCTGTGTCATACTTGTGGTTAATTGGAATTTGACTTTCAGCTAAATTCAAATGTCATCGTGTGCATCTTCTGATTTACAAAAGTAACATGATGACCTTGGGTTGGCACCAAGTTCATGGTTTCCCTTAATGTGTATAGTGCCCTCGAGTGTGGTAGTGTCCTTATCTAGTCTTCGTGTTCTAAAAAAACATATTAATCTCAAAAGTAACTGTCTTTTTTTTTTTTTTTGGTTAATTTCTGCCAAAATTACCCTCCATAGAGGAAGAATAAATTTCTCAAAAGGATATTACAGTATGATGATAGAAGTGAAATGTTATGTGTTGACATCTTTTTATTATTGTTCTATGTGCATGAAAAGTGAAGGGAAATTGAGATGTACATTTTTTGGGAGTATAGAATATGTTATTGGAAACTTGTGTGTGCCGAAGCATTTCATTCTATGCTGTAGTTAGCACAATACTAGGTCTGACTTGGTTCTGTCTTTGCTCTGCATTGAGTGTAACGCTTGGCTTTGGTTGGGTGCCTTTGGACTGGGGAAACCACAGCTAAGCATCTTTCTTGTTGCCAATTGATTGGTGAGTAAGACTTTTCATTTGTTAGCAATTAGTGAATGATAAGCATGCTTAAAGATCAAGTTCAAGGTGGTTACGGTTATGAGTCCCCTTCTTTTTGGTTCTATAGAAATTGGATATCTCCTTTAAATAAAATGTTAAACTTTTTCCTTTTCCTAGGATGATATGGTTTTGATTGGCACTTTCAGTATGTGATTTGATTTCTTTATACGTCATCATTTTTTCTTTGGCATTAACTTATCCTACTTTGTTAAGTAAGAAATGCAAATGATATACGTTGTTCTTAATTCTGTTTTCTAACAACAGCTCTAAAAAAATTGATTTTTCTTAGATAAAAAAATTGCACCCAAGGCAGCAAATGATGTCAAACTGATAAATGCTGGGAAAATCTTGGAAAACAACAAGACCGTTGGCCAATGTAGGGTTCCTTTTGGGGACCTCCCAAAAGGGGTAATCACCATGCATGTTGTTGTCCAGCCATCTTTAGCAAAAGCAAAAGCAGGTAGTTTTGTACTCAAGTATTTAACAAATGGATGAATATACAGTGCCTCTAGGCACACTAACATTTTCGTTTGGAATTGCAACTCTTATGTGCTTCATATTGTCCTGTTTGAAGATGCGTACTGATTCATGTCTTCCGAGGAATAATAACTTCGAGAAAATCTTTTGAGACAGTATTCAGCTAATATTGTCATGAAAACATGTAATCAAGTCTGAATTTTCAGAACTCCAATGTGTAATGAGATACAGCCTTAATTTAAGGTTGTTTCTTTTCTCTCTTCCAAGGTGCTTGCTACAAGTTTAAACTTATTTTGTTTGTTTGTTTGTTTGAACAGAGAAAAAGGTGGATGTTGCCCCGAGAAAAAATCTCTGTTCATGTTCCATATTATAAGAGATTGGCCGCCTTTAAGGTTTAAGCTTGTGAGGTTGCGTTGAAGTTCCTAGGATCTCGTGGCGATGGAAATCAGTTACTGGGAAGACAATAATTTGTAAAATGATGCCATCCCTCATCTCACTCTACATGTTTGTTTGATGGCATCCCTGTGTAACGGTGTGCTGGTGATGTATTTACGCTTTATATATGGGTGTTTATGTACTCTTATAGCTGCAGCCTACACTCTCACTTTATATTTATCTTATACAAGGCTCACGGGTTTGATCTTCTCTGAAATATTATGATTTAGTAGAAGTGTTAAGTTTGAATACCGATGTGCTGTTATTTGTGAGACCATTCAATTTTGCAATTGCAGTGTGTCAACACGAAGGAGGAATCGGACACGCATTTTCTCCGACCAGGCATATCAGGTATGCCTATTGGCGCATCTGATTTCCAAGTCCTTTCTAAATTCACTTCCAGTATTTTTACTGAGAATTTTTCTCCTTGTAACTTTCTGCCTGAGCTTTTTCGGACAAGGTGGGAAAGACTTGAGTTTTTGAAGCTCAAATCGATGGGATGGGATGGTAAAAGATAAGTGGGAGGGTCTGGGTTCTGGGAGTTGATTGGCGTTGAAGGGTTGATGTGGGGGTAAGGAGGAGGGTTTTGTTAATTGTTATTAAGTACGGAGATCATGATTTTGTACCTCATAACTTTTGTTTTAATTATGGCGTTAATGAGATTAAAATACAAAGTTGATGGCATCACAATCTTAATTAAGCAGCAGAGCATGTCAACGTTCCCTTCCACATAAACAATGGAGTGAATCCGTCCTAATCTTGCCATCAATCTCTAGAATTCTACAGGTTCCAATAGTCACGATATTTAGGACGGGAATGATATTTTTGTAGTCCAGATCCTGTATCCAATAAACAATTATCTTCTCATTATTCAAAACAGGGAAATAGTAGATAAGTGAATTAAATGGTATTGACCTAATCCTAGCCAATTAAAATATTTTCCCTAGAAGACAAACAGACGTACCCATCATTGATAGTTCCTCTTATCCCTTTTTTTGACCTGAATTCTTTGGCATGTATCTTGTTTTTCTTGCATGGATTTACTTTAGACAAACAATATATATATAAAAATCTGTAGATAACAGAAGTTAGCACATACACGTACGTGAAAAGGAAAGAAAGAAGATTAATTAAGCTCAGCATCTCCATGCAGAAGCAGCAAGAATGGCTCTATCTTGCCACCCCAAGAGCAAGCAACCTTTGTCCTCTGTCAATCTGTACCCATCACAGGAATACAAACCCAATAAAATCTTGGAATGAGTCACTGCATTTGCACTCAACGGCACGCCCTTAAACCCTTTTCCTTCCATTAGCTTCCTCCATTTCTCAAGCCTCTCATGCCTCTCGAACCTCTCTGCTCCCTCACATGCCACTATGTTCCTTATCTCTGGAGCAAAGATGTACTGCTCCACTTTTGCCCTTTGTGAAGAATCTGGTGGGAAAGTTGCATCCAAGGAGTCAAAAATTGCTGAATAATAGTGCAATGCCTCCAGGAACCTACCTAAAAAGTATGGTCCGTTATGGCTTGCTTCTTGTTCAACTACTGTTACTATGTTCGGTGCTTGGTCGCGGATCATTGCTAATAGGTTCCCCAGGCAATTTCCGGGGACGCGGTGGAGCCGGTTAACGGAGTTAACGGCAAGAGCCTCACCGACTCTTCTATTGAACATGTGTGGTTTAAGGTCTTCAAGCTCTTCAGCAACTGGGTGGAACTCAAATGGAACATGAAGAGAATGAGCTAGTTCTGTCAAGCACCGACCGGTCTCTCTAACGTTTTCTATAGAGGATCCAACTCCAGTTATTCGGAGGAATGGAGCACCACCAGGTCTAGCAGCTAGGGCTTGCATGAAAGCTGGCCATTGATAGCCTTGAAGAATGTCTAGGTCAATAACATGAACACGTTCGTCAGTTTCAAAGGCCTCGAAAATAGCTTGATTGGCCGTGAAATGAGCAAACTTTACGTAAGGGCAAGCTTGGTAAAGTATTTGGTAAATTTTGAGAATTTCCATGGAGTTTGGAGGGAAAGGAGAGAAGACTTTTGCAGAGGAGGTACTAGGTTTAGTTGCAAGTGTTGCAGCTAGCCTAGCACTTAAGGCCTCAGTGAAACAGGACGCAACTCTTTGCATGGAGTCACCAAGGGGGCTGACGACTCTATTGAGGTGGTGGAGATATCTTCTTGCTAACATGTAGTCCTCATTGGATACCGCCTCAGCACAAGCAAGAAGGAGGTTCAGTAGTTGGAGGCCACTATCTTGTTCCTGTAAAATAAATATATGAAGTTAAAAGTTGTATTGTGTTTTGAATTAGGAAAATGTGCTTTTATTTTAATTGCTGGTGATTGAATATTAATAGATTCGTAACCAGTAAGACTGGTTCTGGAAATAGTTTAAGACAAAACTCCTGTAGACTTCTCATGCATATCAACCCTCCAGTTTTTGACCTTTTAACCTTTCACTTCAAGGTGAAATAGATTCATGAAGATCCAATTTCTTGTCTTGTCATGCTAACCGGTGATATCCTTTTTTTTTTTTTTTTTTTTTTGGTATCAGCTGGAATATCATTTGGCCTGACTGTAATAATATTTCGTTTGCTAAGGCTGAGGGAGAGAGAGAGAGAGGTTACCTGCTCAGAGCCAATCGGAAGAGACACCATCAAGGTATGGTTAAGGTTCTGTAGTTGCTGTTGTAGTGGTAGGGTTGTTGGTGGAGGCTGTGGCTGTGGTTGTGTTATCGGTGGTGGTAGTGGCTGTTGCTGCTGCTGCTGCTTCTCCTGTTGGTTTTCCTCCAATAGTTGCTGTGATAACAGTGCAGTTCCAATAGAACCCATCTGATAAATATCCCTCTCCTGTGTCATCTGAGAGCCTGACGATGTTTCACTCTCCGATCCAGTACAAAACCTGGAGGGATTTTGTATTGTCAAGCAATCCAACATTGCAGGAACTGTGGTTGATATATCAAACAACTGTGTTGAACTTCCACTACTACCTGGCATCTTAGTTGGTTGTTGGTATCCTCCATATCCATCTCTTTGAAAATCATCCAAGAAGTCCTCAATACCTGGTAAAGAAGGGCTCTCAACTTGCATGTACTGATTATTTGGAGAGTTACACATCCTATGGAGTGGACTTTGTCCCTTCCCTTTGTGGATACTACTAAAAGCAGCTCCAAGCTGAGATAAATATCTAGGAGGAGAGCACCCTGAGAGACTCTGCCCTTGCATTGCATTAATATAGTTGTAACTGTAGCTTGAAGTCTGTGGTGACGCCAAGTTTCTCACTGGAGATGAGATCATGAAGTCAGAATCGAAATTATCAGTGAAGAAGTTCTCCCACATAGAACTATCTGGTGACTGGACTTCAACATCTCCATCCAACTCATATTTGACTGCAGGGAAGTTTAGGCTTGGTGGGGTTAGGTTATTTTGTTCAAGTTCAGAAGATAGAGTAGTTTTTTTAGATTCACCGATCGATGACTCATTAAGAGAAGTTTCTTGCAACTTGTTGCATGAGTTCTCACTCTTGAGAGACCCCATAGTTCCACAAAGAGAATTAATCATCTTTTTTCTCTCTCAATACTTGCTCAATTCCTCGTTCAAACAACAAATGAAAGTGAGGTTTTTGGTGTTTCTCTAATGCTGCTATCTCACATGAAGCTAGAGCTACCACAACTTGGCTTTGGCTGGTGCTTGAGTTGCTATAGGGGAAAACCTATATGGACTTGTTTTTCTCTTTTTATTTCCAGGGAATTTGAGATTTGTCTCTTTGTCCAGTTTGATTTGGAAAGGGAAAGAGAGGTTGAGACAAAATGTTAATCTAATGTCATGTGGTTGGAGGTTAGTGATTTAAGACAACAATTTTATCACCCCTAACAAAGCTTGTATGTTATTAACAAAAGTTTAGCAGTTTTCTCTAGGGCATTGATTTGTCATCTTTAGCTAACAGTTACCTGTTTTAACCATTAGCATCTCTCTTTGAAAGCTTGTGCTGTGCTTGCACTAAATGACATTTTCCATGGTGGGCCCCACTTTCTTGGGCCGGCCCAGCTCAACAAGAGAATTTGGAATCATTGGACCCTTTCTCATCATACTATAACAGGTTAAATGGCAAAGTATGAAGAGTTGTGACTATTGGATTGGAGATTTGTGAGATTGGAGGAATAATATAATTAGGAGAGGAACAATATTCCCTTTTTTTAAGAAAAGAAAAGGAGGGATATGGGCCCACTGAAAAATGGCAATTTCGACAAGGACTTCAATATTATGAAAACGACTTTATCAAATGCATAATGACAAAATGAATTACGATTAACAAGGAGGGTTTACTTTTGATGCCCTTTGCTTTGATCTATTTGTGACTTCTTATGTGGGCATGCAAAGTTCCAGCAATACAATGGCTTGTGGTATAGGTGTCATGCTACAAGATTTATATTTTCAATGATTTACATTAACCTTATTCGGATGGATGGAAGTAAAGTTTTTTAACTTGAGAAATCTAATGATTTTGTTCTTGAAGTTCTTTAATTCCACAAATATGCAAATGATAATGTTGATTATTGCGAGTTCGTGATGTTACGGGAATAATATACGATATATATCATTTCTGAAAATATTAATTGTTCATATGTGTTAATTTTTTTTATATAATATGTGTTATACAATAATAATATAGCGTTTGGATTCTTATTTTATAATTATATCGTTATATAATAGATAGTAGTTCATTATTACGAGTTCACGATGTTAAGGAAATAATGTATGATATATATCATTTCGAAGATATTAATTGTTCATATGTAAAACAAATATGTTTATTTTTTTTATAAATCATATGTGTCTGTACGATAATAATATAGTGTTATGGATTCTCATTTTATAATCATATCGTTATATAATAGATAGTAGTTCATTATTACGAGTTCACAATATTAAGGGAATAATGTATGATATATATCATTTCTTAAGATATTAATTGTTCATATGTAAAACAAATGTGTTTATTTTTTTATAAATCGTATGTGTTGTACGATAATAATATAGTGTTATGGATTCTTATTTTATAATCATATTGTTATATAATAGATAGTAGTTCATCAAATCTATAAAATTATTTCATGCCATTATAAGCAATTTTGGATCATTTAATTTTTTTTCACATTTTGGAACGAAAGAATTAAAATGAATGATAAAGCTATTTGTCAATCTAAAATCCAACAATTTTCATATAAATTAAGAAAAGAAAATAACATATCATGAAAGTTATCATTTACATATAACAATAATACATTTTAAAAAATAACATAGCATGCAAAGAAAACAAATTATAATTCATAAAAATGACGCATTATTTAAGAAGATAACTAAAAAATAAGATCCAATGTCATATGATATGTTCATTTAAAAATACGAATTCTATTAATATGATCTATCACGTTCTCATGGAACATAAGAAAACTCAAAAAACTCAAATCAACTTTTTAAAGATATTGTTAATGATTTAAAACACAAATCATGGCTTATAAGAAATTCTTCATCACTAAAATTCAAGAGGATGAAATCAAGGAGAATTACTTTTTATTTAATTTTGTTCAATACTAAACTAGATCAAATCCTAGTTAGGATGCGTGGGTAGTTTTGCTAATTTAACAAAATCAAATGCCCATTAATCATGCATGAGGTAAATATATGATTAAACATATACAATGGCGGGCAAAAACCAAAAGGATAAAAAAGAGAGAAGAAAAGAAAAGAAAAGGGAAAAAAAAAGGACAAAAAAAGGAGACATAGGCAAGGTCGTCGGATGTGGCGTCGATGGCGCCGCCTAGACCTTGGATTTGCCAAAGGAATGAAGTGCTTGTCCCAAACCCTTTTTCGCTCTTAGGCGGCATCTTCATTTTTTTTTTCATCATTTTGCGTCCCATGTCATCCATCCTTAATTAATTTTCTACTAATTACTTAATTAATTAATACAAATATTTTTGGTTCACAATTAATTTCCATGTCCTTTTATTAAGGCCATAAAAAAATTAAAGCCGATTTTCAATCACGCACCACTCCCTTCCTTCATGCGTGTCTAGCCAATTAAAATCTTGCCTCATGGCAGGGATACATTTCCATTCACGATTTGTAAACAAGAGTGTTTGTCCAATCAAAATGACAAACTTTTTTCTCTTCTTGTATTTGTCAGCAACTAAATTAACCAAAAAATCTAGGATGAAATACCTATGCATGCGTATATGCTTTTTACTTAAACTTTTAAGAATCAAGGTATATACAACATTGATTTCTTTTTTTAAGTTTTTCTGTACATAGAGAGAATCAAAGCAGCAACGTTTAGGCTTTAGTTTATGTCAGTAGTAGTTAAAGAACATTCAGATCAGCTCTAGCTGGCTCTAGGATCACTCTGAGATTGCAGTAGGCTAATCTAACAACTAGCCAGGACATGATCAGAGGCTAGACATGCATGTCTATTTGAGCCTAGTTTTGATCATTTTATCGTTGGTTTCCTCCAACATTAAAAAATGCCATTGCTGGAGAGCTTCATGTGTTTACCATCTGACCATGTATAGCTTTGTTTCATTTCAAGTTTTGAAAATAAGCACAGGTAAAACCAGTAAGTTTAGCTTATTGACAGTGGCTAGACATGCATGTCTATTTGAGCCTAGTCTTGATCATTTTATCGTTGGTTTCCTCCAACATTAAAAAATGTCATTGCAGGAGATCGAGCTTCATGCGTTTGGCATCTGACCATGTATAGCTTTGTTTCATTTCAAGTTTTGAAAATAAGCACAGGTAAGACCAGAAAGTTTAGCTCATTGACAGTGGCTAGACATGCATGTCTATTTGAGCCTATCCTGATCATAACAATGAAGCTCAGTCCAGACGACCTCACAGCCAAGCTTAGGAACGAGACTGTTCTTTAGACTAAGTCATGCACTGTTTTTAGTGCAAGCAAAAACTTGGCTTTTCAACATCAATGCTCAAGAAAGTTGTAGCCTTCTTTTATTTTTATTTTTTAAAAACTAAGCAGGTAGTTAATGACCGTTTGTAATTGGTTGGTAGGATCTTAGATGCGTCAAAACAAATTTGTTTTATGAATTGTTTCCATGTGTAAAAAATTAACAAATTATACAACCATATACTAGCCGTCGTCATGCTAGTTCTTTCTTCGTAATGTCCTCATTAAGAACAATGGAATTCAAAGGCCAAACTTTGAATCTAACAGTGCTAGCTTTTCTAGCATTAATTGTATATGATCTTCTTCGACTGTTTTCTAGCTGAAAACTATGGCTAGGTCAAGGCACACGTAAATCTTTCCAATTTTATTGTTATATTAATTACTGGAAATATCTATTAAAGTTCAAGCTAAGTTGTTTGTGAAAACTTAAGTTTGCTATGAATTCTATTTAACCCCGTTGTATTTTTGTAAGTAAGACACCATCTTAAGCTGATTACAGGAGCAATAAGACAAGGCAGGCTCATACATGAACAGTTGGTCAACATGGAAATACGAAAAGACAATAGTCATTGAACAAATCAGACACAATGAAGTCATAACAAGCAAAATGGGAAGCAATACTATATATCATTTTTTTTTTTTTTGCCAAACTAGTCCTAATTTGGTTATAAACAAGAAACAAGGCACCTTGGAGCTAGGAACGGCAATAGAGCGATGCAGGGACGAAGATGGCCCTTAAAAATTCCGTTCTCATCCCATATCTCGTGCGGAGTAATATTTTTCATATCATTCCGACCTCAAATGGAGACGAAGATATCGATACTCCGTTTAATTTTTGGTTTCTACTCCGTCCTACCTCATTTTATTATCAAATTTTAAATTATAACAAAAAAATAATAGTTCTTATAGAAAATAAACCTTAAGAGTCAATAATCACATATTTTATATAGAGTATAATTATAATTTCAAAGATGGAAAAAGGCAAACGAAACCGAACGGAACAAGTGAATATCATCCACGTCCCATCCTCCTTCAAAATAAATACGGAGCAAGGCACCTCACCAATTCCTCAATCAACTCAAGAAATCTCTACGTTGACCGAAGTGGAGCGAGATGGTGCAGGACGGAGCTCCGTTAGAACAAGGCAAATTACCATCCCTGTTTGGAGCAGTTGACCAATTAAACATAGTTGTCTTCATATCTAGAATAATGGACCATGGGCCTATACTGTGGTGGAGGCCTTGATTGAAAAAACCAAATGGCTGAAGTGGTGGTGGATACATTGGCTGAATACGATGAGGATATGGTAACATTGCTGGATTTCCCTACACAGTTGGTCCATGGTATTGGCTTCCATATCGGGCCGCTCCCAATACTGTGGATACGGCGGCCTTGAGGCTCCGTAAGGCCTAGCAGACATTCCCAGAGAAAACACATTACCAAGAGCGCGCATATTGTTAGGCCTGAAAACTGGAGGAGCACCAAGAAGCAACTTGGGCTTAGCCTCCCCTTCTTTTTTAACTAAACAAACCCAAAAGGAAACAAAGTTTCTTGCTTTCTTTGGTGCTGGCATTACTGTTGGAAAGATTGGGAAGTTGGTCCCGAGTCATACCATTCTGAGTTTTAGATACTTTTTCATCATAGTTACGATCAGAGTCACATTCAGAATCGGAGCCATCTTCACAAGAAGAACAATCCGATGAGTCGCCCTTGCCATTAGCACTTTGCATCGGGTTCTTCTGGGGAGAGAAAAGTACTGCTTTTCTCCCCCACTTGGCAAATTTCTGTATAACTATTTGAAGGTCTACTGTGCCTGTAACAGCTACCAAGCCTTTTTTCGTATCAATGGTGATTGCAAGCACTCCTAGGACATGCTGAACAACATTGAATATTCACTTTCAAATAAAACTTCTGCAAGAAAAGAAAAAAAAAAGGAAAAGGAAATCATTATCAGAAAAAACAAAAAGAAGAGATCACAACAAATCTTTACAGCACAATATTATAGTCAAGATAGTTACGGGAGCATGGCCATGGTGAATTTTAGAGGGAAAAACAGTTTCCTTCTCCATTGAAATAGCTTGATCTAATCAAATATTGTCTCTATGGGAAAATAAACAAAGCAAAATGTATAGGAAAGGTAGGGCTATTGTTGGTACATAGAGATGCATAATTAATGGAGTATTTCTTTGTCACAATTTATAACTTCCTTAAATAAAGTTCGTCAGCAAAATATTTTTGGCAAGTGATTGCAAAATAAATATAGTAATAAATCTTATAGACATTTTTATTTTCATGGTTCTCGAGTTAGGTTTTTCCCCTCATAATCTTAATTAAAACAAAATATTTTGAGGACCATATTTTTGGCAATTAAGAATCGCTTGTTTGGCCGGATAGATTGTCTTTATTGAAGACGACGATCTGTAAAAAAGAGAGGAAAAGCGCTTTTGCTGAGGAACTGACGACGGGTCATTCGAATAACTTTCGAATTGGTCTTGTCATTCGCTCCTTCCTTCGATTTTGATCTTTGTGTGTTTTATTTTTGTGTCAATTATGTCCCTCAAACATGTTATTTTGGTCCTTGGTTACTTCAAGTTTTACAATTGTATCTCTGCGTCCTTTAATTTCAATGTTGAAATTTTTAATTGTTTCAATTTCAGTCTTGATTTTATTCAACCATATCCCTAATGTAATTAATTGTTTTTTTGTATTTTATTTTTTATATTTTTTTATTCCTTTTTTTTTTTTGTAATAAATACTGAAATTTAATAACTAAATAAAAATAAAAATAAAACCTAAAAGGAATAAAACATTTGCTTGTCCCTTTTTATTATTATTTTTTATTTCAAATAATTTTGTTGTCGGATAAACTTCCACATCCCTTTTTTTCTAACACTAGTCTCCGGCGGGAATTACTATTTGCTTCCTTTTCTTATGATATAACAGAGAGAGAGTTAAAAGTTTCAGGTGTGGTCAGTCTACTTTATCTGCTTTTAAGGAGCACTAGCAAAAGTTAATGTAAGAACAGCATTTTTTAAGAAGAACCAACAAAAGTTAATATAAGAACAGAAACTCCAGAAAGCTTAAAAGTACTCTAAATCTTTCTGTTAATTATTGTACTTTTTTTTTTTTTTTACAAGTCCTGAAATGACAACAGGACAGCTGCATTATCTTGACAAGAAAATTCGTTTGTGACTGAAAGTAACCCACGGGTGCCTAGCTAGCAGCCCTCTGCCCTGCGTCTTTAGCAACCATAAATAAGGGACCAATTCCCAAATGCGATTCCGCACCATTCCTTCATAATTTAGCCATTGGAACTTGGTAGGGAGAAGGGACGCAGCATTATCAGTGTCCTTTTTGTTTTTTCACAACTCTTTCAACTCAGCTATTATGATATCAACCACATCACTTACGAGCATTATTTTGCTTAGAAAAGGAACAAGACCATGAAGGTAAATTAGTTATGATTAAATCTATATTTCCTTCATTATACACATGAGGTTCTACTGTTTCTAAATTGCACTAAAAAAATCACATAATCTTCTTCTGGTTAAGTAGAAATGCTCTCTTCATTGATGGTGGTAAGATTGTGAAATCTGATGCTTGCCATTTAAAAGCTCACATTAAGAGAATGAACGTTCGTTATCCAGTAGGTCATAGTCTTATCATCTTCTGTGTTTACTATACACAACTAACATGCATATGAACATACATGCAATAAATTCAATAGATGAATGTCCTGCTGATATTCACTGCTCACTTATACTTTATCAATACATAAATTCACCTTGCATCTTTTGTTAGAGAGTTTTGAATCAAATAATAATCACAAGACACATGATCATTAACCTCTGAGGATCAGTAAGCCTATAAATACCTAGACCTTCTGCAATAAGCTAACATGAAAAGGTAGCTTCGATTCAAGCCCCACATATATTTCAAAAGGAGGCTACTCTGCCCCATAAAGAGTCTGCTTTAGGGATGGCAATAGGGCGGGGTGAGATGGCTTAAAAAATTTCGTCCCATCCCATCCCGGGCGCTGTTCAGAGAGAAATTTTGAGTACTATCCCCGTCCCAAATGAGACGGGGTGGGACGAAATCTCATCAAATTGTTATTTTTAAAGATAAAATGACAAGGCGGGGGCGGGGCAAGGATAGCCATCTCCGTTCCCACTCTGTTCAAAAAAATTTTGCTTCATCCCCATCTCGTGCCTTGTTCGAAACGAAATTTTGAATACCGTCTCCATTCCAAACAGGACGGGGTGGGGCTCCGACATGGTTGGGCAAATTGCCATCCCTAGTCTGCTTTCTCTTTCTCTCTCCTACGCATCCAAGTCCATATATGCCAAATGAAGTTCACATGCCTTTGTTTCTTGTGAAAAAGATAAATCTCCTCAACTTTCGTGTTTTACAGTTGGATCTCCACCAACCCCTTACTGCTACTCATCATCCACAAGACAAAATTCATCTTCAACTATATGATAATGCTCTCAATACCATTCACCAAGATCTAATTACTCAAGTTTTCATATATAGACAAGCTTTTGTAAAACTGTTATTTTCTCCTGTCTCCGAAAGTTTGCAGCCATGAATCCCCTTATTCTCTTGTTTCTCTCAACTTTGTTTATCAGCTCACTGTCTTCAAAGGTTGAACCAGCTAAAAAAACTAGTGCCCATATCACTGTAATGGGTCTTGTTTATTGTGACATCTGCTCCAACAACAGCTTCTCCAGACACAGCTACTTCTTACCAGGTTAACTAATCTCTCCAACAACCCAGAATTAGTTTAAATTTTTTCTAGAAATTGGAAGTAAGCTTTCTATGTTAAGATAATGACATTGTCTCTGATTTTCTTGACAAATACTTATGTTTATCCAGGTGCTGAAGTTAGAATAGACTGCAGGTTCAAAGCAAGTTGGCTGAAAACCAGAGAGCAGATATCATTCACAGTGAACAGAACCACAAATAGGCATGGAATGTACAACCTAGAAATCCCTTCTGTTGATGGAATTGCTTGTGCACAAGCAGCCATTGACTCCTCTTGTGAAGCAAGCTTAATGAGGAGTTCATCTAAAGCATGCAATGTTCCTGGATACAAATCCACAACCAATGAGATTGCCATCAAAGTCAAACAACAAAATCTCTGCATCTACAGCCTTAATGCCTTGAATTTCAGACCATCAAAGACAGATGCTGGCTTATGTGGAAATTGAAAGCCTTAAATCATTTACTGTTTGGTTTTCTTTTGATTTGTCTAAAGCCTAAACTGTCTCTTTAAACCTTTATTCCTTCATTAGTCCTACATGAAAAATATCTGCAATTTCCATTGCTTGCTACCCTATTCTCCCAAGTCCATCAAGGTTTTATCACCTTCTTCTGTTCTACAGACTATGCAGAATCTTGGGAGTTAATTATTAGCAGTATTTTTGAATTATGTTGGTTTGTTGCAGCTTATACTAACATGTTTGAATAAATGTGCATGTAAAGTTTATGGTTTAGGTGCGTGGCCAAAATTTCCTGGCTCTTGCCCTTTTCTTTTAGATTAAACTTCTGTTAATATATATATATGATGTATAAAGAGCACTTGCAAGAAATGATGAACCTTTAATCATTTCAAAATGTCAAGTTCCTATTAACTTGGCATGGCCAGATACCTCCTGCTAGTATTTTTGGTGAGATCCCTGCCTATTTTAGATGTCAATAATACAGTCATCTATCTGGATCACAAAACCAAACTCATCAACAATAATTGTCAGAAAAGGGACATCAGTCATGACATTTAATCTCAGAGGTTGTTAAGCATAGTTGTGTATATCATGACTGTACAATCTAGTTCATATTCACCTGTAAATGCCTCATACGCACACACACTAACCAAATTGAATAGAATTTTTCATAAATCTTAATATCAAACACAAGAAGATAAACATATAACAGTGTTTCCAATACAAATTCCAATAGACATGACCTGAGGTGAACTTTAGGTTCAAGAACATCAATTCACCTCTCAGTCTAACGAGGGCTGTTTTAGGAAGCACTAACCAATTCAGCTGATGGGACAACAGTGTAGGACAAACACAATAAAGCCACCATGGTAAAAAAAATAAGAACAACATACAGATAACCACGAATTGATCTCTAAATCTGCATCAGTTCTTGGAAGGTCTTCATGGCTGAAGCTGGCAAACCCAGAAGCACATTTATGTTTCTTCTCTCTTTGCCATGAGATAGGAACAGGATGACTTCCTTCTCTGGCAATGCCACTGGCCCTGATAGAACTGGCTCTCCCCATCCAAAATCTGTAGTGTAGAAAGATAGCCTAGACCAAGTTGTTATCAACAGAGTTGAAGCCAGAGAAGGCCTAGCTCTTGTTGCTTCAAAATAATCCATAGCAGATCTCATGTAGCTGTCTGTTACCATTTTAATTGAATCGTGAACTAGCCCCACTGCATATGACAGTGGCTTGTTTAGTAGTTCACCTGCTTGGCATATAGAATTGGTCAACACAATTCCATTGCCAAAGTACCCTTTTGGTAGTGGGGGATTAAATTTTGGCCTTCCATCAACAGCAAATAGGAGCTTTGTTTGTTGATCAGGCTGCATTTTGAGTGCCTTGGTTCGAGCTCTCCATACAAAAGCCGAGAGGCCTTCAAAGGTAGTGCACTTGTCGAGAACCCCATCTTCCATGGCTTTCATTTTGATCTTTTCAAGCTTTTCAGAATCGAAACAGAAGGAGCTGTAGAGCATTTCATCTTTGTAGAGGTCATTTGTGCTGGACTTGTCTTCTATCTCGGCGAATTCTTGGTGGAGGTACTCAACCTTTGGTGGGTTCCGGGCTTTAAGTATGCTTCTGTCAAGGAATGGAGGGACACGAAGTGGCAAGTCTCTGGCTGTTTCACCCCACGAGTTCACAAATTCCATAGCACCAATGCCATCAAACATACAATGATTCATGCACAATCCAAGTGCAAATCCTCCACATTTGAACTTGGTGACCTGGAACATGGAGTTAATTAGCACCTTGGATGATATTGAAGTTAAAGTCTCAGAATTCAGAATAATTGCAGGTTAGTGATCTTTGTGCTAATTAATCTTTCAGGATGATGAATGGAACTCAAAGATTTCCGACAAACACCTAAAAATATGTCAGAATGTACGATTTTGATCTAAATATATTAGTCAACGATTTACAAGCAATGCTAGCCAAAAAATGAACAAACTTGGAAAGCAATAATTTGGAGAAGTTCTAAAACCTGAGCCACCAAAGGAGGAATCTCCAGTATGTTCTTCGCATCAGGAATGTCATAAACCAGCTTCCCGAGAGTCTCTGGGTCAGGCTTTGTTATGTCACCAATCTCTTCCATTGCACAGTTTGCTTCAGCCTCGACAAACACAGCTCCTTCTCCAGTGCAATTTACAATAAGCTTTCCCTCTGAGCTTATTGTTAGCCGCCCGGCAAGAGGATAGTAATGAACAAGAACCTTTTTCAAGGCATTCTTGATCACTTCTCCAGCATTTTCGTTTCCTTTCTCCTCTGACTTGAAGCAGTAGATTGTACGCACAATCACTGCAATGTTTTGGTCAAGGTTAGAGAGAAAGTAGAGTCCCTTCTCTGTCTCCTCAGCTGGAGGAACAAGAGTCGGCTCTCCTTGCTTTACAATGAGTTGAAACACATTGCCGTTAGAGTTCTCCATCGCAGCAAACTTTTCAGCCTCTACAACCTGAACACAACAAAACCATGAAAAAGATTTAGGTGCAGAGAAAGAGAAACGCAGCAAGTTTATAACTGCAGGAAGACACGGTTCGCTTTCAGTTACTGTAAATGCAAAAGTTATGGAGACACAAAAGGGGCAAAACAAACCATGTGAACAAGCTTAGGGAGAGATTAAGCAGAAGAAGAAATGGTCAGAATTGAGGCACAAGAAATTCCAGTTCCTGAAAAAAACGAGGATTGTGTTGGAACCTGATATGTCAGGATTTTAAATGAGCAATTGTATGATTTATAACTCATGCTGTTAGGGGAGATATATACATACATATATACACGTATGGAAGGAAGATGGACCCCACTAAGAGGCTGTTTTACTTAAGAAAAATGGGAAAAGGACATGTTTCAATGATTGATTGGAGAGAAGTGATGGATTAAGCAAGCCATGTTGAATTTTCCAGGAAAAAGGTTTTGGTTCAAACCGATCATGGTTTTTTTCACAAATTTTTTTGGTCTTATGGGTGAGAGTAGGCCACTGATCATGGGACCACCATCACCAGATTGGCCAGTGTTTGGGCTGGGTTGGTGGGGTTGGCTTCCAAATTTTCTTGCTTCATCCTCTTCCTATCATATTCATTTGCATCTTTCTCCACGAAGACTTTTCACTAATTGCAAGCTGTAAGCTGATTTGGAGGTACTTATACGTTAATAATTAGTTCCTCATCTTTTATTAATTACTTTGTTGAAAAATTGGTAAATTCACATAATTATTAAAGAACTGAGTCGGGGGTCAAATTTACCCTCTTAACCTCACTTTTGGCCATTTTGAGGGTAAATTTTACCCTTCTTTAAAAAGTCTCCGACTCTTTTTTTTTTTTTTTTTGGTCACCAAACATCCTTAAAATTTAGACCTGTACCAAATATAATAGGAGTTATCAGTAATTTTTTAATGTAGAGATACCAAGTTTAAATCCTACACAATATATATATATATATATATATATATATATATATGTTCATCGTGAGGCACGATTGCATTAGCCGTCTTTTTATTATATTAAAAAAAAAAACTAGAATTATTGAGACTCCAGCATACTTGGAATAAGAAAGTTATTTACACATCTATTGGACCAAGCCTTCTATAGGTCAAAAGTATAATAAATGATTTTTTAGAGGAGTAAAAAAATTATCTTTCCAATCTTTTCTCTCTCTTTGTTAAATTTATATATAAGTCAAAAGTATTTTGAAAAATAAATGAACAATAAATTCTATAATAATTTTTTTAAGACCAATAAATCTAATTCTATATTTTATTTTTCAAGAATATTCATATTTATTCTTGATACTTATACAGACCTCTTTATTATATTTAAAAATTTACCATTCAAATCGTTTTTTTTAAAAAAAAAATATCTTTCATGATAATTTTTTGAATGTCTATTTTTTCTTACTTGAAATAATTTACAATTATAACACACACATATACATATATATATATTACATAATACCATTATCATAAATCTTTGGTAAATTTAAATAAGATTAGACTATGCAGAAATACCGTTCTTCTTGTTTGTTTCAATTTTGTTTTTCAAAAGAAAAAAAGTTAATGATATGATAATTACTTTAAAAAAAATTATAGCAGTTAGAGGAATAAAATTATACGGTAACTGCTCTTTAATATTCTAAATAAAAAATAAGAAAAAAAATATCTTTGACTACATATATATATATATATATTATAAGGAAATAAATTCTATACCGAAAACTTATTATAAAGTTTTTTTTTAAGAAGAGATAAATTTAAAATCTGAAGTTACTTAAAAGAAAGGGTTGAAAAACCTTTACATATTCGTCTTAAAAAATATATATATATCTAAAACTTATTAGCAATTTATCTCTTAGAAGTGAATTTATGAATACTTTTTCCAACCCCCTTTTCTCTCTCCTACTGGCACCTTATTAAAAGGATTCTCTTATATACATCATTTACTATTTATTATTTTTTTAACTGATTCTAATTGATCCTACTAATACGCTTCATAACCATAAGGTGATAATCCATAAGTAAATAAACGTTAACGTGTAAGTCAAATTTATAATCCATAAGTAAATAAACGTTAACGTGTAAGTCAAATTTATAATTCGAATCTTTTAATTAGTATTTTTGAAATTTTATTTTCAGAATATTCAAAGTTTTACGTTAAAGAATATCCCTTAATCATATCAAAAAAAATAATTAGAAATGCGTGTAATCTAATTTGGGAGCACCTTATAGCTAAACCTAAAAAAGAACTAATACACTTGATTCTATGACCAACTATCAAACAATCTTAATAAATAACTTTTGCACTCTTAACTGAGAGTAATGCTAGGAATTGTAAAGTTTTTCATTTAATGATATGAAAAATATTTAGTATGTTTATATAATTCAGTGATGGTAATATCATATTAATTTTAAACATCACTCTGAAATGATTTTATAAACTAACATATCATATCATGAGATAATGAAAAATTTAGTGTCTCTATTTATATAAATTTTCTAATCAAATGTCTCTATTTTTATTTTTTTTCTATTTGATATTTATATCCTCTTTTTTTTTTTTTTTTTATCTGAGTGTTTGTATCTCTATTTCTTTTCCAATTAAGCGTATAAATTTTTAAATTATCAATAACATGTCTAATAAATGGACATCTACCACCTCGATTGTCTTACTCCCTATTCATAAAATTGGAAAGAAAAACAAAAAATCAAAATTTAAAAATATAACCAAAAAAAATTAAAAGGAAAAAGAAGAAGAAGAAGAAGAAACCTCTCCTTTATATTGCCATTTTTAGGTTACGTGTAAATCACTCTTTTAATAATATTTTAGTACTAATTGAACACTATATTTTTGAAATCCTCTCAAACTTAACCCCTATATATATATATATATATATATATATATATATATATATATATAATTGCTTCACATATAATATAACTCAAGGACCGGAGTATGCAAACAAACAATCTTCAATCATCAAACAAGTAATTATAGCTTGTTTTTGTTCAGCATGACTTTTATTAATTCTTAGTTAGAGTTGAGCAAACCATAAACGTTGTTTATTTGTTTACCAAATTCGTTAGAAGTAGCAATCAACCCTAAGCTAAAAACACTATTGTCGTTTTCTTAAAATGATTCATGATTAGATCAACAAGAAACACTAAACCTGAACACCCCGGCCATCTTTCCTTTCCTTTTATGTATAGGTCAAAGGGGAAATACCGGCTTGCTTAACTTTTCTTGTTTTAACAAACGTGTACAAACTATGGAGCAAGTTTTCATACATGACAAGTTTGACTTGTTCTAGAAAATGTGTTGATCCAACAATTATTCATCAATTTGTAAACGGTAATATAATTGTAAAGGTATTTTCAAATCATTTTTTTACATTAAGATTTTTTTTTTTTCTGATTGGATGATAAACGTAACCTACCATCTACCTACGAACTAATTATGCATTTATAAAAGATTATTTTCTTGGAGATTTTTCTTTAGATTCAAACCTTGAGTGATGATATGAAGAGTTTATTCTTTTACCGATCAACCTAAAAAAAAAAATTAAGGATTAAGGAATAGTGGTATCTATTCCAACGAGCACGTTGAGTACTTGAATCCAAATCTGAACACATATAGCATCCTAATTAATGTTTTCAACATGGCACATTCACCTAACACTTCATAATTAGATTACTCTACAAGACATCTCGGTATCACACTTCATTTTGAACGGTAAATTAATGACGATAAATGGGGTGTTTTTTTTGCCCAAGAATTAGGATGGGCACTGTAAACGAGAGACACGGGCCAAATCCAAGACTTCCATTCTTGCTGCCATTGTTTTGTTGCAGAAACTGGTTATTGATGCTCCTTAGCCTCTTGAAAGATAGTTGTACTAATTTTTCCGTTTCTTTTCCAAGGAAAAAAGACATGAATTTAGTTCGCAACGATGACTCATTTGCAACCTTCCCAGTTATGAAGAGCTGTTGAATCCATGCCTACAAAGTAATTTCTATTGGCTTATGGCTTTTTTTTTGAAAAAAAAAGTCACTATATATATATATAAAAAAAGGTGGTTTGCGAAGAGAAATCAGTGATGGTTTTTAGAAATCAGTGATGGTCTAAAAACCATCGCTAATTTACTAAAATTGCGATGGTTTGAAGCACTTTAGCGAAGGTATTCAAAACCATCGCTAAATCGGTCCGAAACGATCATTTTTAGCAACGGTTTTTAACAAACCATCACTAATTAACCAAAAAATTAGCGAGGGCATAGAAAACCGTCGCTAAGTGTAATTTTTTGGTTTGTATAACATTTTTTGCGACGGTTTTTGTAAAAAAACCATTGCAAATCATGAAAATTAGCGACGGTTATCTTAATCGTTGCTAATTTCATTTTTTAAAAATAATTTTTCCAACCATTTTTGTGACGGATTTTTTATAAAAAACCGTTGCAAAATTAGTAAATTAACGATAGTCTAAAAACCATCGCTAATTAACAAACCGTTTGAGAGAAACAACTATTTTTTAACTTTTTCGGACATTTAACGGTGATTTTTAGACTGTCGCTAAAACTTTTAACTCCTATATTACAATTTGACTCGAAAATTTACAAAAAAAAAAAAAATTATTCTCTCTTTTCTTCTTCTTCTTCTCCAACATCGATCTCCCTTCCATTTCCATCAAATCTTCCCCCTCTCTTTTTTATTTTCCTTCCAGTCTCCTCCTCTCTCTCATCCTTCCCTTTCTCCCCTTCATCTCACCCCATTTCTTCCTCCTTTTCCTCTTTCTTTCTTCCTTTCTCCCTTATTACTCCTTCGACCATTTTCCGCCGGAGCGATCCGACGAAGTCCCTCCACTCGCATAGCCATCTCTCCTCTTGTGTTGATGAAAGATCCTCCCTCATTTAACCCCTCAATTTATTTTTTTATTTTTTCAATTATTTAGTTTATTTGATTTTAATTTTGTTTGTTAATTTAATTAATCGTGTTGTTGTTATTGTTAATTGTTGATTTAATTAATATTATTGTTAATTATTAATTTAGTTAGTTTAATTGTTAAAGAAATTTAATTTTTATTAATTTTTGTTAATTGTGAGAGTTTAATTGTTAATTTTATTGTAATTGTTAATTGTGTTGTTGTTATTGTTAATTATTGATTTAATTAATATTATTGTTAATTTTTAATTTAGTTAGTTTAATTGTTAAGGAAATTTAATTGTTATTAAATATTTTTGTTAATTGTGAGACTTTAATTGTTTAATTGTTAAATTAATTGTTATTGTTAATTGTTGATTTAATTAATTTATTGTTAATTGTTAATTTAATTAGTTTAATTGTTAAGAAAATTTAATTGTTATTAATTTTTTTAATTGTGAGAGTTTAATTGTTTAATTGTTAATTTTATTTTTAAGAAAATTTAATTGCTATTAATTTTGTTGTTAATTTAACTCGTTATTGTTATTAGTGTAATTCTTAATTTAGTTAGTTTATTGTTAAATATTATTTATTTAGTTAGTTTAATTGTTGGTGTTTTTGAAAGTTAGTTATTTTAGAGAATTGTTAATAAGTTATAGAGTTGGTCCTTTAAGACATACAGGGGGTCGATCGGCCATAAAGAGCACACAATACGCATGGTAAATTTATATATAATATTTTTTATAATGATATCGAAAATAATTAATTAAATATTTGAGTGTATTTAATACATTTATGTATATTTGTTTCAGCGTAACGTGTTATGTCATGAACCCGATCCTCACTAGGTTTTCTTGAGGA